CTTTTTTATTCTGTATTTTATTGTCTACTTTCCAATATTAATTTAACATGAAATGCGAATATCGTTTATTTATCTTTGTCTCGAAATTATTTTCTTGGGATTTTTTCTACTACCTTCTCTTCTGCAATAAGATTTATTTAAATAATAAAGAAGACTTTACTTAGATGAATGGGGAATGCATTTTGAAGTAATTCCTATATTTGTCTCTGATCGTACAATAAGAAGATTGTCGGTCAATATTCCTTAAATTATCCTGGACATTTCATGTAATAGAAATTAAAGTAATACTAAAATACAGAATTTCCTAACTTACACAAAGTCGCATTACCATAATACTTTCACATGTAATACATATTTCCCCCTCGGAGTTATGACAGGGAAATTTGAATAAAAAATTCTGTACGTTTTCTGTAAGGAAGCTACTTAACCTACTAAATGACCTCATAAAATTCCAATTATCTCATTATTTCTCTATCAATAAAACGCCCGAGATTCCTCGAAAGAACAAACAAAACCGTTCGCGATAAAGAAGAAAAAAGAAGAGAAAATTGCAAATCGAGCTACTCGAAGGAAACCGGTTCGTTCGAGTCTCGCGATCAATTAAATTTCATTATTCAGTCACGTGTTACGTCGTTTCCACTAAAGGCCCTCTCTGAATGGGTAATAAAGACTTTTAAAGACGGAAAATCAGGTGTAACCAAGTGGCGAGACGTGAAAGGAAGTGGCGTGCTACGAAAAATCCTGATAAATCATTCGTACCACTCACGCCACACGCGATTAATTGAAATTCTTACGCTCTCATTACGTTGTAAATGAGTGTGTGTGAGTGTTGATAATTGACGCTTCAATCGTGAAATGTGAATTTCGAGGGAACGTTAAAAGTTCGTGCAAGGTTTTCAGCGTATTAAAATTCCAAATTATCCGGCGTATTTTTCTTTTAAATCAGCTGATTCGGGGAATTGGTGAATGTGTAAAAATTCTTGAATTCGATTCCTTGAATCGAAGAATTTTTCTTTATTATTTCCTAGCTCGTTGTACTGTAATCTCGTATATTGAATTCCTTTTACCTGGTGCTCTTCTCACTTTTGAATTTCTGTTATCACCATGGGAATTGAGAGGCAGTGTATGATCGATAAAAGTATCGAAATTTCTGGATTATCGTGCTTTCTGGTTCCCAGTAGTCGTTCTTCGAAGTTCATTTTTTTAAACGTTGAATAAATTGAACTGAGATAATGGTTAACAATTTTCCTCTTTTTCTGCTCAATTCCATTCTGCAGTAGAATTTTCGTTCAGTTGAAAATCACATAAATATTGCAAGTGGTCACGCCAATAAAAAGAAATCACTTTAAAAAAATTGTTCAAAAAGAAATAATTAATATATTAAGTAATCGTTTTTTTTAAATGAAATTGAAATTAATTTAAAATTAGAACAGAAGATAAAAGTGATAAAATTAAAGGAAGGGAAATTAGAAAAGTGAAAAGATTACATTAATACATCAAGTAATCGTTTTTAAAAAGAAATTAAAATTACATTTAAATTAGAACAGAAGATGAAATTAAAGGAATGAAAATTAGTATAGTGAAATTACAGTAGAAAATTTGCGTGCATGACATATTACCTAGAGTACGAAAAATATTTACAATTTGTTCTTCTAGTTTACTTTTCGAAAGCCGACGCCATTTAATCCTTTCAATTTATTTCTCGTTATTTAAAGTACCTCGAGTAACTTGGCTTTACAGCCTATTTCCGCTTCTTTTTTTTTTTTTTTAATAGTCGTCTCCGCTCTCGCATTAAACGAAACAAAGCGTAGAAAAAATAAAAATAAAAAAAATAGCGGGGAGAAAGAAAATACACGCGTGCACGCTTGTTATACACGTAGCCGTTTAAACAAAGTATGCTACATAGCGCAAACAACGCGCTATTGATTTTTCGCGTGAAAGCCGGGAAAAAGCACGGAACGCGGTTCAATTTAGTATGTTTTGCCCCCGACGTGACAAGGGAATCGGTGGGCCTGGGTTGAACTGCAACCACCGGGAGATTCTCCTGTTACGATTCCAGACGAAGCACGGATTTTTCTTAATTTTTTCAGCAAGCACATTTTCCTGTTAAAAAGTTTATCGGAGGAGAACTGTAACAAGTGTTTCGATGTTCTTCGGTTCTTTCGGAGTGAACGACGATTGAAACCTTATGTATCAGGTAGAAAGTGAACGAACGAAGGAGTAAAGAATTCGAGTCGATCAACGAATCAAATTTTATCGATTAAAAAATAAATTAGGAATAACGAATAAATGAAGTTTTGTAAAAATTTTAGAATTACATAAAATATACTGAAATAAGTAAAATTCTGTTCGTTATTTTATTTTAATTCGTAACTTTATTCCTTGTTTAATTTGTTACAATTTTAATGTACGATGAAGATTTACTTTGTTAAAATATTTTCAAAGTACAGAAGTATTTATCAAACTACATTTGACGTGATACTTCCGTAGAATCTGTATCATACAGCCGAGGTAAAAACGTCTTAGGTTAAAAGTGGAGTAAAATTGTGGAAATTCTCGGTGTCTGTGGAGAAGTTCGTCGACACGCGTGCGTTCGACTTAGCTCGACGTCGCCTAAGAACAGGGGCGGACGTTTTCAGCGCGTCATCCCCGTGGAACTGCAGCTCCTTTTGAAAAGCGATGCCGCGGGTGGCGGCTCGTCACGCCACGTCCAATTTGTGCGTGCGTTTTGAAGAGCTGTCACGCGCGACCTGCTTTTCCAGGAAAATTCGCTTATTAGCATCGTTCCCCGTCCGGGGATATAATGTTAACGTTTTAGCCGCTCTCCTCGTGCTCCTCTCCGATTGGTCGTGCGATTCCACCCAGCATTTCCCCTTCTGTTTCGTTTTTCTCGTTCAAAGGGACCTTACAGTCTGCTCCCTTCAACGATTTCCTTAATTTCTTTCAACCATTTCCAACGCTGCGCGATGAGATAAGTTTAGTGAATAATGTGCGTGCGCGCTGTGTAGATAGTACACGTTTCAAAGTGAGATTAAGAAATGATATGATTTTTCGAAGAAAAATTGTGAAAAAAAATATTTGTTTTTCGGATTCTGTGTTACAGTTTGTGTTTGGGTAATTATAAGCGAATGTGGAGATCAGTCTGAGGGGTTTAATTGGAGCTTTTGTAGCAGGAAATTTGGAGAACTTTGATTTTCATTCTTTTCACTCATTTCAGATTTTTCTTTTTGTTTTTAAGGAAATTATGTGGAAGTTCAAGTATTTCCAATCGTGAGTGTATACAGCGGTGTTGGATGAAATTAGGGAGTTTTGTGAAAATCGGAAATCGAAGAATGGAAATGTATCTTCTTTTCGAATCAGTTGAGTGTATTTAAAGTTGTAATCCACATATAATTATTACATTTCACGTGTATGAAACTCCTCTTGAAACTCTGTATTTCCATGTTATACAGTGTTCGAACAATTTGTATCTCTACTTCCTAAGAAAAATTTAAAATATCAATTCAAAGGAATTAATAAGTTTCAAGTTTTACACTTTCGGCGAGTCTTTATTAACGTAAAAAAGAATACAATCGAATGGGTAAGAGAAATAAGGAGAAGATTCTATAATTTTCTTTGCAATGCATTTGCTTATTTGCTAAAATTATTTTAAAATTGAATTTTCAACGTTAACCTAACCTAGAATTATTGAAAAATTACTTTAATATTATTTAGAATTTTTGTAATTATTTTACAATTAAAAAGGAGGTCCAGTGGTATTTTTTCCCTCTTCTTCTCACCCACTCAGTTACACTAAAACATGTTTCAGTGTATTTCACTATTTTCCTCCTCACCCCTGAAATGGATTTCCACTAAAATCTGCAGAAGATGCAACGAGTAAATAACCACGTTTAGCAGCGACATGATTTTTTAATCGCGATCTCGAGGAGCGTTCCTCGGGAAATTCTGTCTGCGTGGTTGTTCCTGGCGGCTTTTGTTGTTGCTCGCTTAAATAGACTGGGATATCTTGGCGAAATTGATCGACTGACGCGGCATTCACTTGCACAATAAGCGTCCCGCCGATGTAAACGCGTTCCCGTGAATTAATTTCCGGCGTCTGACGATGCGTCGACTGTTACTACTTGCGGACGCGATCTCGCGTTCCCCGATTATGGGAAGAAAGCGTCTGCTGGTTCATAAATAAATGTCGTTGGCAATCGTTCGAGTAAATGATATTATTATTACCAATTGCAACTTCATTTCTGAAGTGAATTTTTCTTTTTTTTTTTTCATTTTTTTATGTGTAATTTTATTTTAGTATCTAAACTGTGTTGAGGTGTTTATTTTTATATTTCTCAACCCTTTGCGGTCCTATGTCGAGTCAGACTCGACCTAAGAATTTTTGCCTTTAGATATCGTATAATGATAAATTATAAATTTTTATTTATTAATATTATACTGAAACTTAGTATTTTGTAACTAATATTACATGGTACTGCCTAAGAGTGACCAAATGAGTGCGGACTAACTGGACTTTTTGAACTGCAAAGGGTTAAGTTTGTTAGATAGATTTGACGAATTTTTTTCTTTTCTCAGCGACTCGTAATTAGACAAATTTGTCAACTGCTTCAAAAACAGTTTTTTTTCTTTTTTTTTTGGTAATGTGAGTAATTTTGTTGAATTTGTTTCGTAGCAGTTTATAAAAAAAAAATGATGGAAAGCACATGAATGTTAAAAATAATGGACAGTGACAAAGGGCTTGGACAGTATGACAAAATTCACCCTTCCATAAAAGTGGTATTTTATTAAACGTTTAATTTCACATATCAAATAATACCTCTTTTACATTCATAAATGTACAAAGTAAATACAAATGTAACAAATATGAAAAATTACAGTTTTGGTCCAAATTTAATCGAACAAATTTCAGTTTTGGTCCAAATTTAATCGAACAAATTTAGGAAAAAATTCGAAAAAAGGACCAGAGCTTCGAATATTAATATTTCTCTTTCTGTTTTCAGGTGAGTGTCCCGGAATTCCAGTACGCTCGAGGGACGGGCACGTCCCTGACGATGGTAAGCCATAAAGAAAACACTATCCCGCGCCTCCACGCGCCGTACGACCCGCTTTGCTCGCGCCACGTGGTCTGATTCCACGCGGCAAACCCACCCTCCGCGTCACCCAGCACGCCAGGCTGAAAATATCCTTCTTAATTAACGTCTCGCAATGTGTCCCGTTCGTTCGTACGATTTAGCCACCTCCTGCGCGACTGTTCGCTTACGGCGACACGGAAACGTGTGCAAATTCGCGCGTCGAAAATTGCTTCTCGAATGTTTCGAGAAAAACGAATTCGTATGTTCTTAATCGGTTCAAATGAAACGATTTTTCTTTCGAAGATGTTTCAATTGCCGAGAAGAGGAATTTTTGTTTGAGATTATTTTTAGTGAATTGGAAAGTGTGCTTTTAGCGTTGGAAATTTTTTGAACGCTGAGAATGAGAATTTTGAGATTGTCGAGAAATGTGAATCTTTAATGATCGAAAGAAAGAATTATTTTTTTAAATTGTAAAACGGAAGTGTGACCTGAAAATATTTTTCTAGCACTACAAATGTTTGGAAAATTCCGAACGTTCTCAGAAATGAATGTTCGCGGAATTTGAGAATTCCAATTCTGAATTCTAATGTTGAACATTTTCGTGAAATTTGGAACTTTCGAAGTACTCAAAAATATCTAGAAACCCAAAAGTGAAACTTTGCCCGTTGTTAGAAATTTTCTGAGTGTCAAAGAGAAGGGTATCAATCTTCTGTATTTATCAGGGGTTGCAAACAAGGATTTCTTGGCTTTCTATAGTTGACAGTAGCACGTTATACCATTAGAAAAGCATTTTTTACTCTGGAAGGTGGGTATTTCTGACTTTTCTTTATTGAAATTGGCATGAAAGGGGCTGTTTGATGGATAGCTCAATAGGGGAAGATTTTTGGAATGGAATTGAGTGAAGGCTAGGGTGGACAGTTTAGAAAAATTGGCCAATATTTAATGATTTATTTTGTACGATTCTGGAATTTTTCATGTACATTTACATTGCTTAAAAATATACAAGATAAACAGAATTAGTTAGTGGAGAGATGTTTTATTTTATTATTTTTGTTGAGACATTGACAATCTTCTAAGTGTCAATAGTAAATAGTTATAATGAGTTTCGACAGAAAATTTCAAATATACTTATATTTTATCAATTTGGGACACTGAATTTACCATTATTTAAAAGGCGGCCAGTGTTAAGTTAAAATCCCAAAATTTGTATATCTTCGAATAAAATAAAGGATCAGGGAAATATTACAAAGAAAGTGTACTGGGTAAACAATTTTATTGAATAAATATTAAAGATGTTCCTTCTCGAGGTTGACAGTTTTAACAGGGAAAATCAGCTCGTACGCATTCGCTGTAAAATAAGAAACGTCCCACGAGGGGCGTAGACGAATGTGTTTGTATATCATCAGTGTGGCCACCAAGGGGTGTGAAAAAGTCGGTCTGTGCCACCGGGGTGAAACGTCGTATCCTTATTGACGTTGGATCAATGTTTTAAAGCCGAAATTCAGTTCAGAGTCGATGTATCTTTCGCGAAATTCAGGAAGATTCGCTGAAATAAATCAAGTAAATTTGTTTATTTTCAACGATAAATAAAATTCCTTGAAAATCTGTTTCCAAGGAATTATTTCGTTATTAATATTGTCGTGTAAATAGTAATGGTTCAAATTTAAAAAATTAGTGTGGTCAATTTTAAAAGGGAAAATATTTCCTTATTTTCCCAAATTGTTGTTTTCCTAATCTATTATTTTTCTAAATTACTACCGAAATTACTATTTTCCAAAATAACTATTTGCAAAATTGCCATTTTCCCAGATCATTATTTCCATAAAATTACAATTCGATCCAAATTCGCCGTCTTTCTGTAAATGTACATCAACAGGAGATCGAAAAGAAGAACTCAAGATTAAGAATATTTCATGAAACGGGTATTATTTTATATTTTATCTCACATTTGAAGATTCCAGTTTCAAGAGAACAAATTCCTCTTCCACCGGTATTTCCGTTTCACGATACAGAAGAAACAAAAGATGCGGCAGTTCCCTCCGAATAACACCCTTCCAGGACAGATAATTCACCAGAAATTCCCACACGAATAGAACAATTTCACTTACTTAAACACTGATTCCACGTCGTTTGTACGTCCCAGAAATGGCGAGAGATTGTAGGAGACACCGTGAGAGGAGAAAAGGGGACGCGAACGAAGTCTTAAAGTGTCTGGCAGGGGAGAAAAATGGATGCACGCGACGCACGAAAATCCGGCCCTATTTCGCTTTCAATTTGTACCTCCTCAAAGGCGCGTAAACAGTTTCCAAGAAAGAGTTTTCAGGGGGTCGCGCGTCGCGTGAAGCGTTTTCCTCGCGTGGAGCACAAAGGAACCGCGGGAACGACGATTTTCCGCCTGGAAACCAGTTTGTCTCGCTAATTGTCGTTCATCTGGAATCCATCATTCGGACACGTGTTGTTTTTCTTATTGTTATTACATAATTTCTGAGAAGATTAATTTTAGCGTGATTATGAAATTTGTGTTATTTTGTGTCTTGGTCTAATTTTGCTGATTTCTCAGTTCCCCAGTGTATTTTCCTCGTAAGTTTATTGATCTTAAGTTCTTGTTATTATTTGGATTTTGATTTTATTTTCATTTTCTAATTTTATTTCGATTCAGATCAACGCGATTTTAAGCTTACTTTATCTCACTTCGATCTTACTTCGACGTTGATTAAGCCTATTTAACGCAATTCTCAGTTATCATTTCATCCCCTTTTTAGCTTCACTTCAATTTTATTTAATGTGATTATAGCTTTGTCCTATTTCTTCTATTTCTCTTAAGGTGATGACTTTGTTCCCCTTTCACATTATTTTAACGTTGTTTAGTATAGTTACAGATATATATTTTATTTCATTTTGACTATATTTAAAATTTTCTTTAACACGATCCTAATTTCTAATGTTACCAAATTTTATTGTTCCATTCTACAGCGTGGCCCTTGAGTCTCTTTACCATTTAAGAATTCAATAAATCTCTTTCCTTGTTACATTGTACGTTTCAGAATTTGACAAAAATTTGTTCAATATTTGAACAAGTAAAAAAGCAACTTACGAATCACTCTGCACTTTCACCATTTCCTCCCTAAATTTAAATTAAAACCATCTTCACTTCTCAGCCAAGTTGTATCAGAATAATGAATTCTTTAAAATTGCATAATTAAAAATTATCCATCTATACGTATAATAAACATGTTTTCTTCTTATATCAAGCCACAAGGGGTTAATACAACAAACTCTCGTTTCAAGCTCGCCACCAATTCAAACATCGATCATAAAATTTAGCAAACCATCTTTTCCCGATAAATCCATCGCCGAAAGTCGAGGAGCTGCCTTCGCGTTCCAAAGAAAACGATCTTCTTAGCTGTGGCGGTATCGATCATTGTTCAACTTTTTGCTCGTTAAAATTCTATTTTACCCAGCGTAAACAGCAAATTATGTTCGAAAGCCCGACGTCATCCCTCCTCCTGGCGCATACACGTCGATTCCACCCCCTCTCTGCTCTATCAACCCGTGACCATGTTGTTTTTCTCGGTTATTTTAATGGAACCGTTGCAGAAACCGCGCGCGCCCTCGGCCGTGGCTTATCTTTATTTTCCGCATAAACGAGGACAGGCCTTATCAGCGGCTAAGCCAGCGGCTATCGTTAGAGTCAAACATGTTCCTGACATGCTCAACGCTGCTACAAGCCGGCCATTACCACTTATACATACGTACCCCTTTCTTCCCTCTCTCTCTTTCTCCGTTTTTCCGCCTCATTATCGGTGTACTTTCGCCTCTCTGTTGTTTTTTTTTTCTACTTCTTGTTTGTGTTTTTCTAATTTTTTTCGTTGTTAGGGGGCTTGTGGTTGGTCGTTCCTCGTGGTCCCAGCGTGATACGTAAATGAGAATGATTTATGAGGGTTGTGAAAAGAGATTAGGCGGTTTGAACGGTTTTTTCCCCTGGAATTATTTGCTTGGTCCTTTTTTTCTTTTTGAGTGTTTTAGGATTACAGGTTGTCAGAAGAGATTAGACGGTTTGGGTGGTTCTCCATTTTCTTTTTGTGCGATTCTATTCTTGGTTCCTCTTTCTTTTCTTGAGTGATTCGGGTTTATCATTGTTTGATGAAATAATCAGAGATAGTCCTTTTTTTTTTTTTTGCATGACACGTTAGTTTTGTTCTGTTTTTTCGTAAATTCTGCGATAATTGCAGAAGAAATGTCGACATTTTTCAAATAATTGGACCAATCACAAATGAGTTGATCGAAGATTTGTCGTCCAGCCCGCGATCAGCTTGGTGGAAATTTACGGGAGAAAAGTCCGAGAGAGACGCACGCTTTGATGTGTTCTCGTCGTGGATTGTTCTTGAGTGATTCGGGTTTATCATTGTTTGATGAAATAATCAGAGATAGTCCTTTTTTTTTTTTTTTGCATTACACGTTAGTTTTGTTCAGTTTTTTCGTAAATTCTGCGATAATTGCAGAAGAAATGTCGACATTTTTCAAATAATTGAACCAATCACAAATGAGTTGATCGAAGATTTGTCGTCCAGCCCGCGATCAGCTTGGTGGAAATTACTACGGGGGGAAATTTACGGGAGAAAAGTCCGAGAGAGACGCACGCTTTGATGTGTTCTCGTCGTGGATTGTGAAAAGAGCTGTGAAAGAAAGGGCGTATAGGTGAAAAGAGGAAGCGGCCTCGCGCGTTCTCCTTACTCGAAGGACGACGAATCGCGAGGAAACGAGCGAAATCTCGCGTTTCGAAGAAGCGTGTTAGTT